AGTGTCTCAGAAGGAAGATGATTAAAACAAAAACTGAAACGGCAGTAGCTTCCTATACATCTTCCTTCAGTATCATCTTTATTGATCTTACTTGTAAATATTATGGGGGGAGGATAGTAGGGAGGGGTCATATTTTTTTACTTTTAGATATTAAAGAGTATGATGTGAGCCAGTATTGTGAGATGAGTCCAGGCTGTTGATCTTCCATAGGTGCAGCTTTCTCCTCCTGTTCTGTAAATAAGTTCCATTAAATTCTCCCCAAACCGGGTCTAGGCCTGTACCCCTTTTTTAATACTTTTGCATATAAGATTTTATTCCATATACATTTACTCACACCTTGTACAAGTTGTCAATAATTGCTGAAAAGACTGGCTCACCTTGCTTGAGTGCTTTCCAGAGCCAAAAAGAGAATTTAAGATATGTCCCTTTTTACTCTGTATTCTGTTAGGGCATTCCTTACAGCAATGCCATGGCAAAGGTATTATACCTCTGTTGGTGATACGCTGCACTCTGCTGTCCATTTTGGGCGATGCAAAAAGTAAATCAAGCCTATCACCTGGTATTGTTCCACCTTCTTTCTCTCCCAAAGTCACCACATCATAAAGTTGGTCTGCATCTTCACTCGCATGATGGGAAAGGTACAATGTACGTGGAAGTATTCTCATCTTAACCAAATACTTGAGACTTAGAGATTGCGTGCATATGCTAGGTGCATTGGCTTGAAAAATCCGTTCTTTCTCTCCAGCTACAGACTCTTGCCGTCCAAAAAATGCAAGAGATTGTCAAAATGGCAATCTGAACAGGGAGTAGGCTGATCCTGGATTCCATTTTAGTGTCCTCTCATACCTGAAAATAATTTACACCTCTGGTGGTAATCGTGATGCTCTGTGTTGTATAATTTCCATCTCCACTGTAGGGCCTTACATATTATGCAGAACATGTCCCACTAGAATAATGTACGGGCTTGTTGTACAAGTCCACCCCTCTCTGCTTCAGCGTTGCTTGTTAAAACTGTTGGCATAACACACACTTCCATAAGCAAGGGCTGGGGGGTTTAGAATGGGTTTCTCTTCCCTTCCAGTACCCTTTGAAGTATTAGTGCATGTTGTGCTGCAGCTTTATCTGACAGGCACTGCGTACATCATCGAAAGGGCTGCTGTGCATGAGACAGTCTGAGAAATTAATTGTTTGAATTTACGCTATGACTAAACGCTGTTTAGACTCTGTGATGTGCCTCTGTGCTAATTATACTGTACATGTTTAAAGCCGATTCTATGGTGTGTTCTGTATTACGTGAATTAGTTTGTTACTCAGACTCTGTGAGGATGATAGACGGACTTTCTTTGGATCTTGTCAAACATTTATGCTGCAGGAATTCTGGATCAGAGATTCCTTTGTATGGTTGCACCAGCATCCCTCCTACTGGCTTGTACTCTGCGGATTTCACCTCAAAAAGCCAAGGGCAAAGGGGAATGGACATCAGTTCTTACACATGACTAGGCTTCTGCAACTGTCTGTTTTTTCAGCTCTTTCTTGTTGCACTCTGGGCTGTTTGGTGCTACAGTTACTGTTGGTAGTGTTTCTGTGGGCCACAATATTTTGCAGAGGTTTATAATTTACTGTATGAGTGGGAAGTTTAAAATAAAAATAATAAAATTGAGGTTGAAACAATAACCTTAAAGCAAACTCAAGGTTTTGATGGTGCTTTTGATGAGAGAAACTAACAGTCCCCAACAGATGTTGCTTAGGCAGGGAAGAGACACAGGAGATTTTTCTTCTGAGAAGTACCATTTGAAAACCTGCCCTGCACACTTTTCCATAAGGATGTATTATGCATCCCCAGCTGTGTGGTAACCCCTCAATGCGTATGTGTAGCATGGTATATTTGGCACTATAGCGGGCTGAAATATCAAAAATTGCACGTCAGAAACATCAACAGTTTTCAGGTAAAGAGAAGTTTGCAGGATCAGACAAGCCAGCACTGACTCTCAGTGTAAAATTAGTAGTATTTTGTGTCTAGAGAACTAGTTGTTTTCCCTTGATTGTTTTTCTTTGTTGCATGAGCCTCTCTCAATCTTAATGTAGCAGTCAGGATTGCTCACAGGGTTTTAGGACAAAATGTAAGGAAAGCTGTCTTTGTTGCTAGAACCATTATCTGGAGCTCTGTTGCATTCATTAACATTTATGTTAGAGCAAACTGAAAGACAAGGAAAAAGGCTTTCAAGGAATATGCAGGGGTTAAAAGCTACAGAATGTTAAAGGTACTGAAACCGGGTAGAGTTGTGTTTAAAAAAAAAAAAAAAAACTGTGTTTTCTAGGGCTGTACACTGTCATTTTGACCCCCAATGGCAGTGCAGAGTCAATATGGGAGAGTGAATGGGACTCTGTTCTGCTTTAGGCACTAATCAGTGAAGTTCTGATTCAGAATCTCCACTGGGGGCCATCTTGATCTTGTCTCGGATCCACAGATGAGATTGCAAAGCAGGCAGGCTGTTTAAAAAATATATATATCCTGGACCACAATCCTGCAAATATTACACAGGTGCTTATCTTTAAGTATGTGCACCAAAGTTTGCAGGATTGTGGTCTTAATTCATAATCTCATCAGATTTGATAAGCAGCAACTGAGATTACATATGGAAGCTGAATTATCTCTTCTGATCACAGTTCTGGCTATATTTGCACTTTAATGATCCGCAATAGGATTTCTGGGTAACAGGCTGGGATCCTGGTTGCCTTTGAGAGAGGCTGCCCACTGCAACTGCTGTCCTTTTAACTGTCTTTGGTTGTGAGCTTGGTTTTGTGAATTAACTTCTAGGCGGTGACCATCTGTGGGATGAGTGTTAACTACATTAATGTCAAATTATGAAATGCCATAAAATACTGCAGATGTGGAAAATTCAGTGTTGTGGCTGTTATCAAATAAATATTTTCTAGACCAATTGCTTTGAGTAATGTAGATTTTGCATTTACTAGGTGATAATTTAGTTTTACAGTGGAAATTGTTTCTACTCCTAGTTCCCCTAGCATATTTAAAATCACTGATTTATTTTATATTAAAAATGTTCCCTGCCTCAGAGCTTGTTCTACCTAATTATAGAGCTTTGCAATGGAAACTGACAACGTATGCTATTGCTATACAGTACTCACTATCTGCTAGAAGGTGCTTTTCTTGCCCTTACCTATACTAATACTTGGATTACTATATGTGTTTTGTACTGGAACTTGTTTCTTCATCAGTGTGTAACTGCACTGTTGGTCCAGGTCACTGTTTAGGATTGAACCTGTGATTTCTGGATTTAAAAGCATGAGCCCTAACTGCTTGCTCAGTATAAATGAAAAGTTCCATTGGCTTGAATGTATAGTGGAAGACACAAACCTCTTAACATGGTCTGGTTGCTGGAGGACAAAAACTTGCATTAAGCTAATGTGGGTTAGATAAGTAGCTGTTCAACTGTTAAGTGAATTTTATTGGTGGTTTAACTTGAGGAAATGGGAAAAACAGAACCGGGGAAATGAGTTTTCCCTTGGAAGTTACTCTAAGCTTACCTATCCTAATACATTGTTCAGATGGTCAGGAACAAGGGCTCTTATATTCTCTAACCTGCCTATCTAATTACAGTTGTATGAGGAAAATGTAATAAATGTGGTGTCAAGGTAATGGCTATCTATACGCAGGTTCAAAAGAACAACATGTCAAGATGAATTTCCCTACTGAAATCACCTGAAAGCTGTTACATAGTGTGGCAAAAGGCACATCTACAACTGAAAACCCCCTAAAACTGCTTGTTCGGTTCTCCAATGTCCTGTTCTACAGCTGCAAAGATGGTTAAGGATATGAAAAGGAGAGATTATCTAACTCTTAATGGTGCTTGGTCCTACCATGAGGGCAGGGGACTGGACTTAATGCATTACTTAGAGTACTATAATTGGAAGGGACCTCAGCAGGTCAACAGGTTTCTTATGTGGAATGAATTTATTCAGAAATGATTTTTTTCAGTTAGCTCCTCTTGTCCTCATGGAGCTTAAAGCACTTTACAAACAAGGTATATAAACTTTGTCACTGAAATCTGGCAGTTGCAGTTGTGGAACGCAGTATCTATTTAAGAGTTCACCTATTCTAAGGCTAGACAATCCCAAAACTGCAGAGGTAATTCAGCAAGACACATAGTTGCTCAAATCTGAGCTGAATTCTAGCTGTGGAACGTAAAAAAACAATTATCAAAGTACTACCACCTCTGAAAGATGGTACTTCCAGCAGCCGTCTTTCCTCCCACCATCCAGTCATTCTTCTCACCAATTCTGTGACAAAACAACATCACCACCTCACAGTAGGACTACAGGGGAAAGCTGATCTAAGCTATGCAATTTTAGATGAGTAGTGTAAAGTGAACATGGATTAGATTTACTTACCGTAGGGTCCAAACCACGCTGGGTTGTTGGGAGAAACACTTCCATTGACTCCCCTTCTCATGCTGGTGGAGTACCAGAATCGATATTCAAGTGATCAGCAGTCATTTTAAAAGGTCATCTCTAGACCTGCTAAATCGACCCCCACTAGATCAATCTCTGCAACTTCGGTCCACCCAGTAGTAGATATGTCCTCTATTTCAAGCATTCTGAGTCATCCTTGGAGGTTTCCATCTGTGTACTGACTCAACCAGCTTAGCTACTTGCATCTGATGAGAGCTCAGGGCCCTGAGGTTATAAAGGCCTGGGTTATATGAACAAAGCTCTTTTGTTTTAAGCAAGTGTTATGGACTTCCATAAAAGATATTTTATTATAACAATTATTTACATTGCATTGCAAATATGCCATTCACATTATCTTAACTGCAAAAATCTGTCTTTATTCAAGAAGCTTTTTGTTCCTCTGAAGTTTTTCGTTGTATTGGATTAGGGCTCCTTCACCAAACAGAATCTTCTATCTAAAATGGCACTGGTGGTAGGAGCACTCTGACATGGAGGAGCCTGGAGCAGCTGCTTCAGCACTTGGATGTCACCAGTATCCATGATTCCCACACCTAGAACTGCAGTACTTTCTGCTGAGGTAGAAATCTCAAATGCCAGTAACTGCTGATGTGTGAGCCAAGACCCCTTCTCTACCTGATTGCTTGTGTTCCTGGATAGCTTATATTGTATCTGAACCTGTACCAAGTCCAGCAGTCTCTTGAGCCTCAGTTTTCCAGAAATAAAATCTTTTAGCTCCCTGCCTTCTCATTGGCCTAGGTAAAGTCCACACTGAAGTGCAATTGCAGCATTTCAAGTATAGACAGGCTTTGAGAACTGCTTAAAAGAAGGCATCCGTGTGAATTAAAGAACAAAATAAACTCCAATAAGTGGTCAGCTTCTCTTGAAAGGGTTAAGTGCACTTAGTCAGGAAGTTGCTGAAACACTAAGGTGGTGGTTTCTCCTTCCAAGCTGTTTAATGATTCATCTTAATGGGGAGTTTTAACTGTGCCTAACTTCTTTCAGAGGTGGTAGTAATTATCACTCTGTTCATTGGTGTCTCAGTGAGCCAGTCCCCATTTTAGCCTGGCCCTGCTTTAGTGTAGTTGTCATGCCTTGAGTTCACCTCCGAGAAAGACAATTCATTTTCTTCTTGGACATCAATAGTACCCTGCAGCCCTCCTCTGTTCTCATGAGTGTTGAAGGGAATGAGTGGATGTAGCACAGAAGGATAGTACCAGAAACGGCAGAGTGGGCCACTGTCAGCTTTGTTTTGTAGGCAGCTAAAGCAACAGGAAAGTTCTTTCCCCCTCAAGTTGGCGCTATTCCAGTAGCTGTCTTGCCCTAGTGCCTGGTTATACAGCAAAGGAAATCATGCACCCGACAGTGATCTTTGCAGTACACCTCTCTCCTTTAGTGCTCTCCTGCCCGAGTCTCAGCACTCCTGCATGATGCTAACCATCCTTGTCCCTGTTGTGCAGAGGGATCACAAACACAGAGATATCATCGTAGGATGCTGGGCTGCTGCCATCCAAAGTCCACTGATGGCCATTCTTCGTCCCTCTTGCTGTGTGCACCAGGCACCTGGCCAGTTCTGAAAACCTGCAACAGGAGAGGTTAGTTTGGGTTTATCCTGGCCCTAAGACAAGGCACTGCCATTGTTCAAACCATGTCCTGGAGCCTGACGGACAGCCTCTTCTCACCCCCATGAAGGAGGTATTATCCCCTTTTTACAGAGAGGAAAATAAAACCTGTGGCTTTTCCCAGTCACCCAAAGAGCTCTCCCCCTGCAGAAGTAGAAGTTAGGTGCTTTTGGCTCACTTTTTTTGTTCAGACCAACCCACTCTGTGTCACGCCACTGGGGCCACAGATGCTATAATAATAATCACAAAGGAGATCAGTATCATTAGCCCCATTTTACAGATCAGAAAACTGAAGCACAAAGCAGTGACAGACTTGCCCAAGGTCAGTCAGTCTGATGCCTTGTCCACTATGCCATACTACTTACAGCCTCCAGTCATGGGACTGGGTCCATGGGCTTGGGAAGTCTGACCAACATCTGACTGGCTGGTGGTACAGAAGGGGCATGATGTTCCATACAGGAGTGGGAGGATAAGCTAATTGGGTCTGAGTACAGAAGCTAAGGCTGTAGGAATTTAATTTCTCACACCGGGCTAAGACGTTAGCCAGACGGTGAAGTGACTTGTGACTTCACAAAGCTCTCTTCAGTGTGAGCACGAGCAGTCCCACAGCCAAGGCGATGTGAAATGGAAGCCACCCCTCATCTCCATGCCAGCCCCAGAGAGTCGTAACAGCTGGAAAAGATCAGTGCTACCTGTATGGGTCGGTTCTGTTTTCGTCAAGAAAGCTTCTGACCATCTGGGCCAACTCTTCATTGGACAGTGTGTCCCAAAGGCCATCAGTTGCCATGATAACGACATCATCTTCTTTAATGTTATGCACAGCAAAGTCAAACACTTTCACCTAGAGAATAGAGTGACTAATTTATTTAGTGATTTACTTTGCTATCGAATACACAGCAAATGGTATTCTTTGTGTCCTCTAGTGTGTCTGGCTTCAAAAATGTAAGCCAACCCTATCTTTCTTTGATTTCCCTGCAAAAGGGGGGTCCTGCTTAACAAACCGCATAAAGGCACAAGGCCAGGGGCTGTCTGTGAGGTTGGGCCTCTTCCACTAGGTTCAAGAAGCCAGAAGAGCATTTGAATCCTAAACTAAACAACTTTCCTTTGGTTTACAACAAGCTGGGGCACAGGCACTGTTCTAGAGGACTGTTATAAAAGGTGGATGACTGCATCACTGAAAACAGACCAATATATCTGAGCCTTGCCCCCCTCACCCCATGCTGTTGAATTAATAGTGCCTGCTGGAAGCTGTGCAGTTGGCAAACCAATGCTGAGTGAGGACTAAGACTAGGCGGAGTCCTGCTGTTAGAGGAGGATGCCTAGTTTGGGCAGCTAAACGCCTATGTTCACTGTGACAACACTCACCTGTGGGATGCAGGAGAGGAATGGTTTGACTTGAACATCCGTGTCAATAACTTTCAGCTGATGATCCCCCAGCCCTCGTGAAACAGCCAGGGTCCCCAGCAAGCGCGTCTGGAATGGAACAAGCCGGCTCTCAGAGCAACATAGAACTCAGTGCTCTGAGGGGGCTGTAGGCAGCTCTGTGCCTCTTCCCAGATGTGGGACCAATGGCAGAGAAGAGAACTCTTGAAACAGTCTTATTTGGCCTGGCCCCATGTGACCAAAAAGTCAGAGGCAGCAAATGTTTTTCACTGACATTCGATCTCTGTTTGGACCATAGGTGTAGGGGTGCTATGGAAATTCAGCCTGCTGGAGCAGGGCTGGGTTCCAGGCTCAGGGATACCTGGAGCTGCAACTTCCTTTGATTTGGGGGTAACTAAAGGTAAGGGTTGCTTACAAAGGTAGGTTCTAGTCCTGTTCCTGCCGGAGAGTCTGGTAAATCTGAAGCACTGTAAGGCACTGCAAGGAGCTAGCAGCTGGACTGCTATAGCATGAGGCTGAGGTAACAAAATCGTCCCCAGAGATGCATGTACTTGCTAGACACAATAACCACCCACAAATAACCGGGACCCTTCCCCAGATACCTAGGCCCCACACAGAGTGGGGTGATCATGGTGGATGATAGGAATCAATTCTGTTTGAAGGCAGGGGCAGCAAGACACCCTTGTGTAGCCCTGCCTCAAAGTGTTAATGCTGAATTCTGAGGTGCTTGTGTGTGAAGGTCAGTGCTGAAAATGAGCATCTAGTTTCCCAGTTAATGTAGGAAAATAGGCTGTGCCTGGCTGGATCCAACCCATAAACCATCAAGTGCAATGGCCTGTCCCTGCCAGTGGCCAGCAGCAGATGCTTCAGAGGAAAGTGCAAGAACCACACACACAGGTCTCAAGCAAGATGCTTCATGTCACTTCCAAAAGTTTTGCTGTTGTTAATTGCAACTCGAGGTAGCCTTGATAACCACCTAATTATCTGCTCCCTCTTTGCACTGTGCTGAGTCCTTAACCTCAGAGCAACAGCATGCCCAGCCATGCCCCTATCAGGGCGTAGAACACCCTACAGTGGGCAATGCAGACTGATGGGGCTTGCCTGGGAGCTCTGTGTATGGGGGATTGGTGTCTGTTGCGGAAGGGTTTCAAGGGCTTCTCTCAAACATTGCTTGTAATTAAACCAGCTGAGCCCCTGTTCTGGCCACTTGCAGGTTCTTGCCCTCCCAGCACTTAGGGTCTGTAGAGCATTTAGGTACCTGCTTCCCATGGCCGTGGATAAGAGGATACTTGAGGTCAGCTTTCTCCACTGTCTTGTATCCCCTAGAATAAACAGAATACAGCCTCAGCCTGGCATTTCATTTCATTTCCTTAGTCTTTTCTGTGGAGCCCATCACCTGGTGTACGAGCCGCTTGCAACAACAGTGACCTTGTCCTTGCAAACTGCGTGGGACTCAGCACAGAGAGACTAGCGGTGCAGCTGAGCTCATACGGGGACTCTGACTGAGCTGGTACTTGACCCTAGCTCTCTTGAGGCTTGGTCTACTTCCTCAGGGGCAGACCCAGACCCTTCCATTATCACTGCTCACTACTGGTGCTGCACCAAGATGGCTTCCTGGCCAAACACCTGGGGCAATAAGGTGCAGAAAGCCTTTTCTGCTGCACCCATGGCTGCTCTCTCTTAGCCAGACAAGAACAGCAGGCTTGCTAATGGCTGGCAAACAGCCTCCTGTGAAGCAACAGCCCTGCCCCGAGACACTGAATTCAGGGGTGTCTCTTCATCCTTGTGGCCAGTACAAACACACAGCCGTACTCAGGGCAGGGAAAGGGGCCGAGAGGAGACGTGGGAATCAGCCGGTCCTAAGCATATTGCCATCTGGCGGCTATGCAGTGACAACACGAATTGGTGGCTGGGATTCTGCCCCACTCAAGTCTCCCTTATTGACACTCAGTGAAGGTGTCCAGAACTTAACATGCATGGACTGTAAACTCCTTCCCCGAGGCAAGTTGCCCCTGGGCAGATGAGGTGATGCAGTGGCAGGGCAGCTTGCACTTTCATAGTGGAGACAGGGCTCCAGGGTGTCAGTCCAATTCCTGTTGCCAGGGCTTAATTCACTGTCTCCTCACAAGCAACATGCAAGATGAGGGGTTGTGCCAGCGCCTCCCCTTCCTGAGATCACGCTACCTCGCTGCCAGAAGTGAGCTCACGTAGGGGTGCAGTTACGATATCTCTCCACCTCGGAGACTCACCAGCCAGTCATGGAGTAATCCCGGTACAGGACCTTCTGGCCTACGTCATCGCCTTTCAGTCTCCTCGGAAACTCAAACCGGGTGAACTCGTCTGCCAGGAGCTTGGGGTAGAGAAAGGCCTACAGAAGGAATCCAAAGGGAACTGTTACCTCAGGCGTTGAGTACAACGGCAGCCCTGGATATGAGGATGGAACCCAGGGCTGGAGGTCAGCAAAAGGGATGTGCTCTGATCCCAGCTCTGTCACGGACAGGCTGTGTGATTTTAGACACTTTGCATCATCTCTCTGCCTCGGTTCCCCCTACAGGAGAACAGGAATGACAACACTTAAGCTCCAGATACTTGGGATCTGCTTATGGAGAACATGAAGGGGTAAGTAGCAGTGTTATTTGCTGTGATCGGCTGTAGCTCAGCTGCCATCACTCCTCCTGGGGCTCTGGAGTACCTGAAATTCATACCCTCACCTTCCTGGATGGTATTTACTATTGCTGAAGTGCAAGCTGACATAACATGAGCTCCATCTACCACTCCCTGGAGCTAGTGTTAGGTGATGGCATCCTTCAGAATCTGGCCATACTGCATTACCAGTGCCCCTGCACAGAAGAGGCAGCGCCGCGCAACTGATGTGTTTGACACCCTGGACAAGATCCATGATGTTAAAAGGAGCTTTGGTGCTGGGGTACTGACAAGGCAGTTGCGGGGGAAGGGCACTGACTCATGCGTACCATCTTGCAGGCACATAAGTTGATCGTTACAGTACACGCAGGCCGGCTAGAAGAAGGCATCACTCACCAGCTGCTGGATTCTCTGCCTCTCTGTCTCGGGCGTGAACTCTCTGCTCAGGGGCAGTATGCTCTGTCTCTGAACAAGGATTGCCCTGCATGGCAAAGGAGGAAGATTTTAAGCCGATAGCCATCAGGAAAATGCTTTCTTATCTTGAATTTGCTCTTTCTTTACAGTTCTCCTCCTCTGAGTTAGTACCCGCCATACAGTTGCACTCTGCTCTTTCCTTCCTTATGTCCCACCTGTTTTGTTCCACAAGGTCAGGTACCCACCAGGACACCGGCTGCCCAATTCATCATCCATGTCAGAAAGCACAAATCCACTCAGGCCAAAGTTACAGCTGGGTTGAATTTGGTGGCTGGGCAGATGGACACAGCTGGCTTAATTCAGTGCTGATGTCACTCCCTTAATTTCACTGCCATTGCATTCTTACACCAGTGCCCAGTTTGGCCTGGTCAGTTTAAGACTGGCACAACGTGGCTGGAGAAAGCAATAAATAACAGGGGCCGAAGAGACTCTAAAATCCTCCCCTGCCCTGTATTTGAAAGCACAGCACCCCCAGGTGGGGAGAAGGGACAGATGCACTGCTTATGTCACACTGGCCCAGCTGGAAGTGGTATTAGGTGGAGCTTAATGGATCTAGAACCAATAAAGCCAGTGGGCCCTGTTGGCTTGGTTGCTCCTTTTCATGTCTAACAGCCCAATGCTCTGTGTGTTGGATCCTGCCGCTCTGGCTGGCCAAATCCTCATTCACGTTGTGGGTGCAAGGGAGCTCTCGAGGGACTGCCCACTTACCCACTAATGGGGGTGCTCAGCCCCCCAGAAGCCAGCATGTACCCACTCTGAGTCCCCACTGCAAAGCCTGCTGCAAAAATCCACCAGGAACTGGGATCTGAACTCACCGGCTGTCCCCAGCATTGGCCACGTAGAGCTTTCCCTGTAGGTAGAGGGCAGCCAGCGCAGTGCAGCCTCCTGACTGACTCGTCGCCTTCATCTCCTGACCAATCGCTTCGTCCTGTTGGCATGAACAGCTTCAGTTAGTGACCTGCTCTGTGGCGCTCAGAAGGGCAGCAGCAGCCTAAATCCAGGCCGAGCAGTCCCTGGAGAACTGATAAAATGATAGAGGGGAATGGAGATACTGCCCTGGCACATCCCAGGAGCAGCTGCCAGCGTACGCCAGGTCCCTAGTACATTATAGATCTCAGACCTGCTGGATACTCGAGGGTGCTGTAGCAGGTTGAGGGGGGAGATTTTCAAGGCTCCCAACTGAAAGCCCACAGGAGCTGGGCACCTACCTCCTGTATACCCTTGAATGCCTCCCAAGTGTGGGAGGAGCCACAGTGGCGTGGTTTTCAGGGTCCCAACGGAAGAATCACTCACACATTCCTGGAAGGCGCTCTCCAGCGCTGCAGTGACCACATCTTCCTGCCGGATTTGCTTTTCCTCCACGAACTGGGGGTCGCTGGGGCAAATGCAGCAGCCGCTTAGGTGCATGGGGGGCTGGGCTTCAGTGATGGCTTCCACCACCTCCTCCAGCTTCTGCTTGATGCAGTAATGCAAGTAGTTGGAGGCAATTATTGCTGCATCTGGGCCACCGTGGCCATCAAACAGAGCCCAGTAATAGCCAGTCAGATACTAGTGGGAGAAGAACAGTGAAGGTGAGAAGGGCTCTGTGCAAGTAGCTAGAGCACAGCCTGAAACTTCTGCCTATAGGTTTTATATACACAGCCCTGCTCTTTCAGACATCCTCCTTCAGTGCAGAATCCAAAACCCACAGAAGTCAAGGGGAGGCTTTCCATTGCTTTCTCAGGGGCCTGGAACAGGCCCCTTGAGCGAGCACAGCCTGAAACTTCTGCCTATAGGTTTTATATACACAGCCCTGCTCTTTCAGACATCCTCCTTCAGTGCAGAATCCAAAACCCACAGAAGTCAAGGGGAGGCTTTCCATTGCTTTCTCAGGGGCCTGGAACAGGCCCCTTGAGCGGAGCCCAAGGCAAGGCTGCTCATCCCAACAGGTGCATATGAACAGAGCCGGCCCAAGCCATTTTGGCGCCCTGGGGCCTGGGTGCACGGTGCATGCGTGAGCCCGCCCCCAGGCGCACG